AATGATCTTATTTTCAATCATTTCTCAAGGTAACTCACCAATGCCTGATGCTTTCACAGACCTAAAGTGGTTCAATATCAGCAATTTCATATTGTTTAACCTAATAATGTTTCAATATTTAATGAGTGAATACTCAATAGATTTCTTCACATTAACATCCCATTTAAGAGTGCTGGAATTTTTAAAAGGAAAGCCAGCATTTATTCCATGAATTTTATGTTTTACAATGTGTGTGTGTGTGTGTGTGTGTGTGTGTGTGTGTTAGTTGCTCAGTCATGTCTGACTCTTTGTGACACATGAACTGTAGCCTGCCAGGTTCCTCTGCCCATGGGATTCTCCAGGCAAGAATACTGGAGTGAGTAGTCATTCCCTTTTCCAGGGGATCTTCCTGACCCAGGGATTGATCCTGGGTCTCCTACATTGCAGGCAGATTCTTTACCTGGCCTGAACCAACCAGAGAAGCCCTATTTTATGTATATCACAATTGATATTTAATTTAAAAAGAACATCACCAAGAAGGCACTATCTATTGTTCTGATCTTTGAAGTTGGCACAAACACAGATAAGCAAGTAAGCAAGATAGGAAATAACCTAAATCAAACACGATCTGAAGGAATAATATAATACTGGGCATGGCACCCAAATGTCCATGGGCGCTGTGACTTAGTAGCTCAAACAAGTCAGTTTAGTTCTCTAGAGTTTGAGTCTGCTCCCTTCTGTAAAATTAAGTAATAATCTCACCTCTGATTTCTGGGTGTTGCTGTCATGAAAATCATCTGTGATGATTTTTAAACTGAAAAATGCTATTGTCAGGCTGGAAGATGAGTAAGATCTGATAAAGGGTTTCTATACCAGGAGAGTCTATCTGTTAATAAACAAGGGAAACTTAAGGTAGACCATTGAAGAAGATCTAGTGGACACTGCTTCCCTCTCTTAGCTGACTGGATATACAGGCAAGTCTACCTTAAATTTGTCTTGGTTTCATCACTTAATAACTTATATATTGTGTGACTGTAGGCAAGTTGGAAAAAACCCTGATGGTGGGAAAGATTGAAGGCAGGAGGAGAAGGGGACAACAGAGGACTAGATGGCTGGATGGCATCACTGACTCAATGGATGTGAGTTTGAGCAACTCTAGGAGATGGTGAAGGACAGGGAGGCCTGGCACGGTGCCATCCATGGGGCTGCAAAGAGTTGGACACAACTGAGTGACTGAGCAACAACAAAAAAGGCAAGTTACCTAATCTCTTTCACCTTGGGTTTCTCATCTGCGAAGTGGGAATAAGAATCAAGGGGTGAGAAGAAGGTGGATCATGGAACTGGAAACAGTTCATCTTGCTGTCAACATATTTATCACTAGAAACACAGCGTCTTAAGTACTCTACGGCAGTGGTTCTCAACAGCCCCAAATGAAGATCTTGTTAAAACGGAGATTCTGAAACAGTTGCTCTAGAGTGGAGGCCAAGTTTCTACACTTCCCAGAGGCCCAGGTACTGCTGATGCTGCTCATGTAAAGACACATTTTGAGGAGCAAGACTCACTGTTATGTCCCCACTTCTAAATATTTTGGTTCCACTTTACCAAACAAAAAAGTCAGAAAGCTCTAATCAGACCCCAGTTCTATTGACTTTAGCTCTGGAAATACTACACTTTTTTAAGCAATATGATACTTGAGTCTTAGAGACTAAATAGTTTAGCCTCTCCATCTGCAAGTGAGGGAAACGACAGCCTGGAGCTGATAAGCACCACATCTGACATCACAGAGCAGCCGATCTGGTATCAATAAATGAGGGTCCCACAGAGCCTTAATCCAACTCCCCACTAAGCAAGCATCCTAATTGAGGAAACATGGGGGGCAGAGGGACAATGATGGCCTTAAAGAGCAGCCAATAGGGGCCTCATGCTTCATTCTGATCCAGAATGTGCCTCTCAGCCTTCCCCAAGGAATAGAAGTGAATGACTCATCCATATTTGGTCCATATCTTAGACTCTAAACAAGATTGTATGCAAAACATCCCAGGCCATTTCCACCTAAAAATGTTTTGTTTTTGTCTCTTGGAAATTTTAGAAACACTCAGCCAAGATTCAGCCTGCCTTTACTTGACCTTTGCATCTCTGAACCCCAGGCTTTGGGTTCTCGCACTTTAGAAGAACAAGCCCTTCAGGAGAGCAAAACCCCTGGAGGCCTCCTTGAAGAGCAGGCAGTAATGATGACAGCCAGCCCCCTGCTCTGTGAGACAGTCGACACAGGGGGCTCCTCCTCCATCCCCATGACTAACCACTCCAGCTTCCTGAGAATGTGTTAGAAATGTTCCCAGAACTGCGCTGCTGCCCACTGGGTGCGTTTTGGCTCTGTCTCACCACATATGTTATCTTCATGGTAGCTGCTCCCAAAAAAGGGTTGTAACTCAAGGGAATCTCTTCACAGATTCACGTCTGGCTTTCAAACAAGGAGCTCTCAAACCTGTCAAATCAGGCAAGCAGACGGTGTCTCTATTTTGGGGCACATTTCCCCTCTGGGTTTGTAAAGGTTTCCTCTGGGAGGCGTCTTCCCTTTTAGATTCATGGGCTTGATTGCTTGCATGTTGGAAAGCAACTCTGAATCTAGAAAAGAGCCTTTTTCAAGGTATACAGTTTAGTGAAGTTCAGGATGGATTCACAGGGGGAGGTGCACAATACATGGCTTAATGTACACAGCACGTAGCATTAGCTGAACACTTCTGGTGGTTGCCATAGGAATGAGAAGACTTTTGATTTTAAACCGTCATTCCTCTGGAGCCACGTTAAAAAATGTGACTGGATTCTTGCTGTTCACCACTACCAGCTTTTTAAATCGGGGCTCTTTTAAAAATGCAACCCAAATATTTACTCTGCCAAAGGAGGTTACAGTAACCTGGAAGAAAATAATGTCGCTTTCAAGGCCCAACAACTAAAGAACATGGGCTCCTCCATCATCTTGGGCCCCACAATTTCCAAACCAGGGAAACACAATGTCGTTTTGACATTTTCTTCTCCAAAAGGGATTTGTGAAACACATAAAAGAGTGTAACTCAACCAAGTTAATTATCATTAAACTGTGGTGGGAGAATATTTAAAAACCAAATAATTGGTTTAAAACCAGTGAGTCTTGAAACCATTTTAGAGATTGTTTATAACATGGCGCTCCCCCATCCCCGCCACTTACGTTTCCTCCACCAGTTAGCTCTCTAATCCTTTTGTTTGCTAATTCAAAGTTCTGACACAAGGTACCAACCTGCAAACTCAGCTTTCAACACTGCACCAAGTTTAAGTATCTACTCCTCCCTTCCCCCTACCTCCAATGAGACACTGTATTGTACTGTTCATCTATGTCAAAAAACTGTGGAGACATTAAATACATTAAAAGTTGACCTGGAGAAAATCATAATTGAGAAAGATAGATGCACCCCAACATTAATTGCAGCACTGTTTACAACAGCCAGGACATGAAGCAACCTAAATGTCCATCAACAGAGGAATGGATAAAGAAGATGTTGCACATATATACAATGAAAGATTACTCAACCCTAAAAAAGAACAAAATAATGCCATTTGCAGCACCATGGATGGAACTAGAGATTGTCACAGTGAGTGAAGTTAAGTCAGGCACAGAAAGACAAATATCACACGATATTACTCAGATGTAGGACATAAATAAAAAGGTTACAAATGAACTTATTTACACAACAGAAACGGACTCACAGACACAGAAAACAAACCTGGTTACCAGGGGATACAGTGGGGGAGACAAATTGCAAGATTGGGATTGATACTGGGCGCTCAGTCATCTGTTGTGTCCGACTCTTTGTCATACTTTGAACTGCAGCTCACCAGGCTCCTCTGTCCATGGGAATTTCCTGGGAAGAATACAGAAGTGGGTTGCCATTTGCTCCTCCAAGCAATCATCCTGACCCAGGGATCAAGCTTTTGTCTTCTGTGTCTCCTGCATTGCAGGCAGATTCTTTACTACTGAGCCACCAGGGAAACCCAATATACATACAACTATATATAAAATAGTTAACTAATAGGAATCTACTGTATAGTACAGGTAAGTCTATTCAATACCCTGTAATGACCTGTACAGGAAAATCATCTTTTTACAAAGGTAGCTATATGTATAACCGGTTCACTTTGCTATACAGCAGAAACTAACACAACATTGTAAATCAACTATACTCCAATAATTTTTTTTTAAGTTGAGCATCTTACATAAAGCTTCCCAACTGGCACACCATGTTGGACCCCTGATACTGCCTCTGGACACACCTGCTCATTTACAAACATGATCATTTCAGTATACACCTTAATGTGAAAAAAAGCTGGGAGAATTTAAGTTCAGCTAACTTGTAATCTCCTTGGAGTTGGTCTAGTCTACTATTGTACCCCCAGCAGCTCATGAAATGCCTGGCATGTAGTGAATGATTAATAATTATCTGCTGATAAACAGTTGTGAATAAACAGAGAGTAACTGAATGTTTGGATCAGACAATATCTGTGACCCATTCCTAGAAGAATAGAAATGTTTGTTGGGCTCTGCAGTACCTAGTGGACAAAGTGTCTGATCTGTGCCCAGCATCCACACTTCATTTGGCTGAGGAAAGTGAACGTGAGCTTATGAAAACCAGTAGACAAAATTATATCCTGTCATTAAACAGGCTGTGCAAAAGATTTTAGGAAGTGTTTCTCTTAAACATTCTTTGTCCCTTTTGGACTTGGAGCAAAAACTAAAAGAAATCAGAGATCTCGTTGAGCAGCATAAATCTTCTTCTTGGATTAATAACGATGGATCCAAATCTTTATTATGCCATTATATGATGCCAGATGAAGAAACTCCGTTAGCAGTTCAGGCCTGTGGACTTTCACCTAGAGATGTTACCACTATTAAATTACTCAATGAAACTAGAGACATGTTGGAAAGTCCAGATTTTAGTACAGTTTTGAATACCTGTCTGAACCAAGGGTTCAGTAGACTGCTAGACAACATGGCGGAGTTCTTTCGACCTACTGAACAAGACCTGCAGCGTGGTAGCTCCATGAACAGTCTTTCTAGTGTCAGCCTGCCTTTAGCTAAGATAATTCCCATAATAAATGGACAGATCCATTCAGTTTGCAGTGAAATGCCTAGTCATTTTGTTCAGGATCTGTTAATGATGGAGCAAGTGAAAGACTTTGCTGCTAATGTGTACGAGGCTTTTAGTACTCCTCAACAACTGGAGAAATGATTGGTTTTTTCCTTCAAGAATAGCTACAATGGGATTCAGTTACTTTTTTTAAAAAATGCACTGAATAAATCAACTATATATAGGGTAATGATTTGTTACCATAATGTCTAATAAAAATATATTCTTAACCAAAGTCTTCATTAAAAAAAAAATTATATCCTAGTTTGTAATTCCTGCTGCAAATTTCTCTAAGGAAAGCAGAGGGGTAAAAAAGACTAATAAATGCCCTTTAGGGAAAGCTGTCTTGACATGGGTCTTCAAGGCTCCCTACTTTGCATGATTGTCCAGAAAAAGAACACACTTTAAAGAGCTCACCAAGAGCCATCAGCTCTCTGTGAGGGAAAATAATTATAATAACTAATACTCTGGGGGTGGGGGGGGGGTATGTACTATTTTCAACATTAAACCATTTTAGACATTAATCCTAATAACTAATAGGGTGGGTGAGAAGCTTAGGGCTCTGAGGAAGAACACAATCAAAGAGGGCAGTGAAGTGGGTGGAGACACTGGCCAATTGCTAAACTTGGATGCCAGTTTTATAACATGCCCTCTTTGTAAGCCAGGCTGGGCTTCAGCTTTCCCCAGACCATTCACTCTTTTAATTTATTTGAGAGAAACTCTAGTTGTATTTTCACTGTAGTATCTTGTATGTTTTTATTTGTGATGTAAGAAATGTGAAGAGAAAATACACAGACACACATAATGGCTAACAGTGTCTCTTGATCTAGAGCTAACCACTCTAAAACTGTTTGGTAACATCACTTAGTGTAATTAATTGTAACATATTCTTTTAAATTATTTATTGGTGATTTATTGATGAAAAATTAATAGCTCAGTTAGTCTTCACGTATACACAATTAAGTATAATGCAAGTTGGAAATCTAGACAAAATTCCATGGGATTTCATAGGATCAGGAGCTTACTTGCAATCAAAACAATGGAGGTAATATTTCAACCGATATGTGCGACAGATGCAGTCGGGGTGGAGTATCTTACTCCTACAACTCCTTGCATTTGTAAGCTGTTAAACACATTTAAAAATAATACCTAACCTAAACACTTCTTGTGTGTTAGGTGCTGTTTTATCTACATAGATTATCTCCTTTGATTCTTATTTTTATTCCAGGTTCTACAGAGCTGGAACCTGAGGACTAAAGAGGTTAGCTTGCTGCTTGGAAGCAGCAAAACCTGGATTTCCAAGCCAATCCTTTTAGCGCTTTCACTGCATCATCTCCTGTATAACATTTCTTTGGGGTTTATTATGCAGCAATGAGTGTTGTGAAGCTGAATACGACATTTCCCCCATATATTATTAATGCCTGTGAGAAATTATAACTCAGTGAATACCAGTCAGGTTCTCTTTGTTTCAGAAGCAAGCCCCCACCCACCATCACCCTCTTCTATGAGCATCACGGAGCGGGTGAGTTTCTGTTGTCCTCAGTTCACTAGGAGCAGCAGTGAATGCTGACTTGGAAACCTGATACCTAAGATATGATGCTTCTCAGTGCCTTCAGGTGATACAGATACTAAAGAAATTTAACTCCGAAATTAACCCAGAGACTGTATCATGAATAATAATATTTTTATGCAAAGCTATACATCAAATACCCTATGCATAAGGAAAACATTTAGTATTCATATTTAAGCACATAGACCTGGCTATAGAATTTGTCAGCATATTCAAGACCTGAAAGGAATGAAATGGTTACCAAATTTCCTCTGACTAAAACTGTTTTTTTGACCTTCACATTTGGGAACAGGACAAAGGTAGTTCAAAGTCACCACCAAGCCTGAATTGATTTTGATCGTTTTTTCTATATAGCTCTAGCTCTATCCTTGTGTCCATCTCTGTCTCTTTCTAATCTCTACATCTACTTCTACACTTATCTCTCTAATGTATCTATTGTCAGACTTCACTGTGCACAGTAATATGGGATTGTAAAAATGATTTCACAAAGGCCTAAAAATAACTTATACTTTTTTGATACAATTCACTGCCTGAGGGTTCCCACTGCTATAGCCAATCCTATTTTCCTAATGTGCTCTGGAAGTTCAGGGGTCATATCTTCTGTGTAAGGTCTAGAAGACCTGTGGCCCTTAGAAATCATTCTTTCTTTCTTGAACATTTTTAGGATATTTTTTAGGTTGTGATATACCCAGGGGAGGAAGGTGGCTGGACCTTTTTTGTTTTTGTTAGTTATTTCTTCTAGGATCATACCATGTGACTCCTATAGAAAATTCAGAGTTCAAACATATATAAAGAGGGAAGTATTTAGAGATGCTGCTACCAGGACTTTGAAGCTCTTTCTGGGCAATCTTATTATATATATAAATACACGGTTTTGTATTGATGGCATCCTACTATACCCAGTGACTTTCCAGCTTACAGTTTCATTGGATAATTTATCAAGGAGATACTTCCTGTCAAAAAATAAAATTTATTTCGGCTTATAATAGGCACTTGGTAAGACGCAGGTTCAGTCCCTGAGTGAGGAAGATCCCCTGGAGAAGGAAATGGCAACCCACTCCAATATCCTTGCCTGGAAAATCCCATGGACAGTGAACCTGGTGAGTTGCAGTCCATGGGGTCAGAAAGAGTCAGACATGACTTAGTGACTAAACAACAACAGCAATCTGGATTTTTAGGAGGACTAGGAAAATGCAGTTGAACTTGTGATTAATTTTTTCAGCTCCCTCCAGGAAAGCTGAAACAAATTGCACAAATACACACACATAAAGAATTGAGGGCAATGTGATTTTCTCACCAGTGGGAATGAAGTCAAATATCATTATTATATATCATCACAGTTGAGCTCTTTTAAAAAGGAGCTGCCACTGTCAACACATTTCTCCATCATTAGTTGGCCATTTTCCTGTCTTCATATTTAGGGATTTTGAGAATTATACTCAGTAGAGAGTTGCTTGAGAACCCCTCATCCCCCAACTCAGCATTTCTTCATTTTCCTATTTCCAGGTCAGTTAGATAAACACTGAGATAGAGACATAATTTATGAGTATTCTTTCTGCCAAACCAAGAAATTTCCACATTATAAGCAAGGTCAGCTTACTAGAATCCAGTTGGCAGAGGGAAGGATGACATTTTGAACTCTTATTCTTCACTCGGTGAATTGACCCTTCCTAGAAAGTGTTGAAAGAGGGGAAACGACATTTTCAGAAGAGGGCAGCGAGTAGAACCAAAGGCCCCTTCGCTCCTCTTGGCTCCGGCCGTTACCACGTTGGCCAGTGCAGCCTCACTCCTAGTGTCTCTCTCCTGAATGCAGTTTCAGAAACAGAAGCTTGCAGGATTTTGTTTTGAAGAATTTTCCTGCTGGCCAAGGATGGGCCAAAGGGGAAACTCCTTTCACCTAATGTTCTTGAAATAGGATTTTAGAGTCTGCCTCTGGTCCTTTAAGGCAGTTTCAAGCCCTGGTCCAAATTGGGATGCTTACTGATTTAATGTTCCTTTTTTCCAGCCGAATACCTGGCATCTTATGCATAAGTAATCCCTCAAAACCTAACTACATGAAATAAACATGACTACATGACTATATGAAATAAAATCAGGCTCCTCCTCCCTGTAAGACGACATATTCCACCTTGGTTTGCTTTTCCAACCCTCCCAGTTTTCTTTAGCTTTCCCACTACCATCAAAACCTTATCACAAGAAAAGATTTGAAATCAATTTACACTAAAGTATCGATAAAAGTAATTGATGATGGCTGAAAGTGCTTCCTTCCCCAGAGAGATCTGAATAAAAATAAAGCCCCAGACAAAGTGTTTGCAGTACCCCTACCATCTAATGACAAGCTTTATTGAGGAGAGAAGGAAAGATTTCTTTTGAGTGTTGCATGAGGAGATGAGAGTGACTTGCCAAGCAGAGAGAGAATACTGCTATTGAACATATTATTCTCAGGTCAACTATCTGCAAGATAAGTGAATATATTATTTCCTACATATATTTATTTAGTGAGTGTGTACTTCAGTACTAAAGTACTTCAGACACTTAAGTTGTGTCCGACTCTTTTGTGACCTCAGGGACTGTAGCCCGCCAGGCTCCTCTGTCCATGGGATTCTTCAGGCAAGAATCCTGGAGTATGTTGCCGTTTCCTCCTCCAGGGAATCTTCCTGACCCAGAAATTGGACACCCCCTGCCCCCACTGTCTCCTGTGTCTCCTTCCTCTAGGCAACCCACTCCAGGATTCTTGCCTGAAGAATCCCATGGACAGAAGAGCCAGGTGGGCAACAGGCCATAGGTTGCAGGAGTCAGCCAGGATTGAAGCGACTAAACACGCGTCCTTTGTTTAGTGAGCCAGTACTTAACCAAAGATCTTCAGGCTAGCACCCCCAAGGGATCCAAAATGTCTCCACACTTTGAGAGCTTCTAGTATTTTTAAAGTTAGTTGGGTCTGTTGGGAAAAGAGAAACTTCCTCAAGATTTCATGCAGGTAGCAAGCAGAATTTTGTGCAGTCCAACACGAAGAAAAACAGAGTCTTCTAGAGATCTCTGGAATATGGTAAAGCAATTAAACAAGAATGAAAAATTGTAAAATTGTCAACAACACAAACTTCTTTATCTCTTAGCAAACAGAGTAAACCCAGACTGACACTGATGCACGTTATTTAGATGATATGAAAGGAGCAACCTGTCTAACTGCAAATCATGTGAACTTCTCCCCTAGACTGTTTGGGTCTTATGCTATCCAACCGTATAAATAAGTACACCTCAAAGATAACCTGATACCAGCTGATACCTTTACTGATCAGACTCCATCTTGAAATGCGCCTCCATTTTTAATCAAACACTTCTTCCTTTTGTGTATAGAACACACCCACACCTATTCTTACCACCTACTCAATAGAAAAATATAAACATCTCTGCCAAATCAGTATTTTGAATAACATTATATTATTTATTTCAGCCTTACAGTGCTAAAATTTCATACTGCAGTGCCATCAGTATAAAAGATGTAACTCTGGCTTTTTATTTTTTAATTTTTTTGGCCTCACCAAGCAGCATATGGGATCTTAGTTCCCCGAAGAGGGATCTAATCCCTGCTCCTAGCATTAAAAGTGTGTTTTCTTAACCACTGGACCACCAGGGTAGTCCCAACTTTAGTTTTTTTTAAATAATCTTTTATCTCTAGCTCACCAAGATTTGTTAGTATTGTCTGAGTTAACTTCTAGAGCTGACATCTCAAGGATGTTTTGGGTTGAATCATTCAGTGCTACAAAAGAGTTATTCTGAATACTTGCTCTAACCTTGCCTTCTTCTCTGTCTGGTTCTATTATGTCTCAGAACAATGGGCCATTATAAGTGCTGCTTTTGAGTAGATGAAAGTTATAAAACAGACCTGAGCTGATCGGATTTTGACATTGACTTTCGAACATTACAATACTTCCCCACCTTTAAAAATAATGCCTTGCACAGCTATTCTTACACGTGATCTACAGCTATGCTCCCCAGAGAGTAAAATCATTTTCTGAAAATCTATTTCAGAACCTGGTCATGGCATGTTAGAGAACTCAGTCGTTCTCTAGTAAACCTAGTAAAATGAAGTCCCTTTTGCAAGTGAATAATTAATCCTCCCTTCCCAAATACACTTGTTAATTCAAAATTTTCAGTTTTCTTAAAGCATGGTCTTTTCACACCATATGTCCATTTTGTAAGACTTCAAATTCCCTTTCTTGGTCAATTTATCTAGAAACGACTGATTCCAAACCCATCCTCCAACCCCTGGGGTTCAATTCTATTTTTCAAATTTCCAGTTTATCATCTCCTTTTCAATCACATATTCATTTGTGCTCACCAGCAGTGGATTGTGCACACACACACACATACTCTCTTTCACCTCTGAGTCATCACAATTCCAGTAGACTCACAATAGAGTTCAGAACCTGTCGCCCGCATCTCACTGGGAGCTAAGGAGCCATAAGACAGCTTTCTCCTCTCGTAAATGTCAAGTGTCCAGCATGCCTCCACTGGGGGCTGAACAGAAATATAACCTTAGAGAAATCAGTCTTTGGGTCTGGGCAAAGCTCCGAGAATTCTGAGTCCACAGTCTGCTTTCTCTGTAAGGGTGCGATTGGTAGTTTCAGCTTCCTCTCTCATCAGGCTTAACTCTACAGCACCAGGTTGGTGTCTGACTTGCTCTCATTGGGTGGGGAAACCCCTGAGACAGACAGAAGGAGATGTTCAGTTTTGTCTTAGGAGTAGCCCACGAAGCTGTGGGTATGGGAGAAGGGATTCTGGTGGTCTTCCTCCAAAGGTTTCTTTTTTTGTTTGTTTTAAATTTGTGGAAACATCCATTTATTAAACCTGAAGTAACTTCTTAAATGCAGCTTCTCTCTTCTCAACCCAATATGCACATACAACACCACACTTATTACTAATTCTGCTTGTCAACAAAGGGTACAAGAGGGTCATGGAAAACCCACTAGAGATCTTGTATTTGACTATCATTATGGCTTTGATAAGCAGATCTCAAAGTGTTGTGCCTAAAAATCCTTACTGAGGTTTGGTAGGGAGGATGTATCACCAGAATAAGCTCAGGTATCAAAACAAAGTTTCTTTTTGCTGTTAGGTTTATTTTGTTACATTCAGACAGAGAAGATTGCATTTAGGCAAACTGACATGATGCCAGCGGGAAATCTGACCAAACAATCAGAGGTGGAAGAGGAAGAAAGGCCAGGAAAGAGGGAGGGGATGAAATCAAGCATTCACTCTGTATTTTACCCCAGAAAACAGCCAGCAATTATAATTACCCACCTTGTTCTGCAGCTCAGAATAAAAGTGACGTTGCACCAAACCCTACCCAAGCAGCTTGTCCTGATTAGAAAGTACTCCACACCTTGGAGAACCAAGGAGACACGAGCGAGCACAATTTTAAATGCAAATTAAACTGAGGGGGTAGCAGAGAGAACACATAAAAGACAGTAAAACAAAACCTTTCAGTTTTCTTAAATTAGCAGCCTAATGTGTTCTAAAGAGCAGCTCCCCTCAGATTTCCTCTTAGGGGCTGCATTTCATCACAATATAAAACGGGCAGATCCATCACTTGCCTCTGCTCGGTGCTCTTGAATTGAGATTGAAGGGAAAATTAGAAGCTGTTCATTTGGGCTTCTGGGCTCAGCAGCGTTGCACAGCTTCGTCCTATGCTCAGCCGTGTCCTGTCGAAAAGGGCCAACAAGTGCTGGTGAGTATCTGCTAACTTCAAGACTCTTCCTTTCATTTATCTTTTGGGGTTTCACTGGCCTTTTGGAGGGGGGAAATCTCCCAAAAGATTTACATTACAATGCAGCTTGCAAAACCTAGGAAATTTCAGACAGCTTTTCAAGCTTCTTGCAGTGACTGATTCACAGAAGGAAGAGAGAGTTATTTTCAGCCTAGATGCTGGTGACTGATCCGTGTATTAATTATAACAGGGGAATGTTTAACAGATGCCAGCTAAGATGGCCTGTCCCCACCACCCTCAGCCAGCATTAGGGTAAGGACTGGTACCCCGACAACTTTTCTACCATATTAACTGTTTAATCGTGTGTTCCTGTTGTAATTGCAAATAAAACTGGAGCTTGAAGCTCTAAAAATAATTAAACCAAAACCATTTTTTAAAATGACAGTTCTCTGCCTGAGGATGAGTGGCAGCGGCCGGGGGTGGGGATGGGGGTGGAGATGGGGCGGGAGATATGGGGTATTGGACCCGCGTGATGGTGACATGTAGATTTTGATGGTGATGGTTTTCTGCCAAAGTTTTACACGGGAAGCTGGTCATTTTCTTCCTTCGCAGTGGAGGATACAAAGAGTCTGGGGCTGGCGTCACCTTCTGTTGCTAAGGTAACATGCTCTGGCCATTTCATCTGATAAAGTCCAGCAGACGGGTATACCTTATTCATCGCCGATCTAATCAAACAATCAAAATTGTTTACTTTCACCGGGAATATTTAATGAGATCAAAGACACTGACTGAAATTGCTCTTACTGCCGGCAGTTAACCCTTGATATTTTTTTTTCTCTTTTTTGCAGTAAGTATGATTTGCTGTTGGGGTAGCTCTTGGATATATTTAAAAGTTTCCTTCTACCAGACTTGGCTTTTTAAAATATGCACTGTTAGAAAGAAAAACGAATTAGATTATCCTTCTGAGTTTGATTTTAATTACTTGTTACTTCTTTCCAAAAACATCCTGCAGAAATAGATGCTACATTTGTGCAAGTATCTGAGAAAGGCTACATATGCTAGAAAGAACCTAACAGGCTGGTTTTTTTTTTTTTTAATGAAATATATTAGCTTCCTGACACGCATGATAATATTATGGGGATCATTGCAATTCGGAAATAATTGCTGGCTCTCGGCAAACCAGATTTCTTTCTCACAAGCAGCCTGTGTCAGAGGCAAGCAGGTGATGGTCCTTGGCACTTTATAAAACGTGCTGGAGGAAATTACTACAAGGAAGGAATGCGAGGCATTTTTACAGCAAACATGTCAGCATGTGTCATACATGCAAGGCATCTGTAAGTGGAGGCTCTGATTCCCAGGTTAGTGCTCACTGCTCAAGGGGGATTGGAACTCCCTGGATCAATTGAGGATCAATGCTCAGAACAGCTGATACTTAATGATATCATTTATCAGACAGACCTTTTGAAAACAGCATGAAAATTTAAAAGCTTATTTTCCAGTTAATACACAGCAAAGAAAGACTGGTATGTTATCTCTCTTTAACCTGGATCACCTGTATTTTCTGAGTAGAATATATCACTTTTAACAAATGTTGGTGAAATGCTTCATTTTCTCATACAATAGGAAAGCTCTGTTGACAGATGGACTTAAAACTGGAAATGTCAGTCAAATAATGGCATATTTAATGGGATATTTCTTATCCCCAAATCATATTTGACAGTCTAAAGTATTGTGGATTTTTTTTTTCTCTCTCATAGGCAATACAAGTGACTATTTTGCCTTAAAACTCTTGTTTCGGGAACATCAAGCATGGATTATCCCAAAATGGATTATTTTCTGGATGTGGAGTCTGCACCCAGACTCTTGGATGTTGAGTCGGCTCAGAGATTCTTCTACAGCCAAGGAGCTCAAGGTAATTAAAGACAGAGAGGAAACTCCTCTCATTTGCATGTTGGTTTTATATTAACAATGCCCTGTGGACCTGGCAGTGTAAGTTATGCTGTGGGGAGTTCAGCAACTGGGATTTCCCAGTTGGTAACTCTTACCGAGCTGTTTCCGGCATGGAGACAGGCATACAGCAAAATGAATTAACCTAAACTTCTTAATTTAGTTCAAAAGCAACCTACCCAGCTTTTGTACAAATGCCCCTTGGAAAGCTATGTTAGAAAATGATGCCCCCACCTTGTTGCAACCAAAGTGTAAGTTTGAAAGACTTCAAGGATGCTTTTAGCCCCAGGAAAAGGTGGAGTTTTCAGCCTCTGAACTGGAGATCAGGGCACCCTGACCTCTCTGTCTGAAATCCAGTTGGATGAGAGGCTCCGGAGAGAGGCTTTGAACTCCTACAAACAGCAGCCTTATCTATTTTAGATGAATTCAGTTACAGACTCAAGGAATCAGCAGTGTCCCTGGGGAGCACAAAGGAACACGCCTGTTGTGAAGTGTGGCTGATGTATACATTTAAATTATAGATTTTAAGATGGCCAATTAGACTCCAGTTTGCTTGTTCTTCTGTTCCAGGGTGCGCTTAGAATGCTGTGCGTGCACATTGAAGTACAGGATGAGGCTGGGGCATTGCATGGGCTCTCCCGACAGGCAGGAGACGTTTTTAAAGCCTATTTTCCCTTTTCCGTGGAATATTTAAGGTAGTCAGGAAACCTGAGCATGGGTATATCCCAAATGGTACAAGTAACAGCAAGAAAGGCAATGTCCCTGTTCTTAAATAGAGAAGTAGTTGAATTCTTGGAACTCACGAGGGAGAACTAAAAAGGATAGATGCTGTTTTGAGAAAGCTGGCATCTTTCACTGTTACGTGGCAATGGGCACTTCACACAGGGCCCTGATGACTTCTGCCTTGCCCAGCTGTCTCTTCTTATTTCGTTTTACCTGGCTCTCATGCCAAATTCTGACGGCAACTTCAGTGGCTTGCAAGCCTCCTCCTCCTCCGCTTCCATTTCCTGGATAGGATCCAGTCTCAAAGGCAACAGAGACTGGTAATTATCTGGCTGATTGGTTTGGGTCAGTACACACATCAGCAACAGCTAATTCTCCTCATCCCTGTGGGTGTGTGTAGTCAGCATCGCTCCTCTCAGCCCCTGAAAGAGACCTGAGAATGTTACTGAATTAGCAGAAGCCTGAGACACTGGCCAGATCCTCCAGCGCCTTCTTGGTCTGGAAGTAAGAAGCTGCTAGCAGCAGATGGAGACGGAGGTCAGAAGAAACAGGGGAGCTGAGGCAGGTCTCCGGTTCTGTGTTGTCACATTGCTGCATCTGTCCACTCCATTTGAACAGGAGAGTAATGCTGGTGCCTGGGGGTCGTGCACCTGAGCGGCATCCCTGTTAGCAGAGCAGAGAAAGGGAGCGAATCACAGATACTAAAGATGCCCATCTTGCCTTGCAGGAGACCCAGCTTAAGCCTTTAAGAGCCGTGGGCTCCAGGCACTGACGGAAGGAGAGCAGCCAGGGTGTGGGAGGCTCAGAGGACTCCAGGCAGCCTGGTGGTTGTCGGCAGATGGAGCCGGGGGTGGAGTGGTCAGAACTGTCGCCTTCGGTGACTGTGGTTTAGACACCAGAGCTGGAAAGCCTGGAGCGTGCACGGGAGGTGGTGGCGTAAGCTGCCTCAGCCCCCTGACAGGACGTTCATCCGGGGATAATCAGAATGATGTTCCAATAAAGGAGTCGTGGATCTGTAGTAAGAGTGGGGGCCCCCTAAACAACAGCCAGGTGGGTTTTTCATAAACCCCCTGACTTCTGGAATCAGAAATCCGAGTGTAAGACCTAGGGGTTTGCATTTTAAGTAAGAGGTCCAGTGATGATTACCCAGATATCCCACTATTCTGTGGAGTAGCATTTAAGAACCAGTCCATTCTGTCTGATTTCTCTCCTTCCACCCCAGGATGGGGCCACTTTCCTCACCATTAGAGGCAGGATGACACAATGGTTACAACCAGACCCTGACTGCCTAGGTTCAAACCCTGGGTCTGCCACAGTCAACCTGGGAAAACTAACCTCTTTGACTTTCAATGTCCTCCTCTGAAAAATGGAAATAATGTTGTTGTTCAGCCCTTCAGTCATGCACAGTGCCCAATTCATGAGTTGTTAAGAGAACTAATAAGGTAAGATTTGAAAATTCTTTCAACCGCCACATGGGAAACACCATACATGAGGAAAGCAATAAAATACCTTTGCAAAAGGCTGTCCCTTCTCTGAGATTTGAAAGGAAGCCACTGCCTTACAAACAAAAGTGCTACCTGATAAGAGTGAACCTCCTATTTTTTTTTAGCACACACACACAAAGTTAATTTTAAGTAAATTTTAAAACACGGTGATTATTTTCTTGTCACATCAGAAGGTAACTTGGGACAAAACTGAAAAACAGGGAGTACCAAGAGAAACTTCTATCCTTCCTTTCACTTTAAAACTGAGAACCCCTCTCCCACCAAAAGCTTCCCCAGAGCCCCGTCGCCTCAGACTAGTCGCCCCCAGGTCTCCTGGCTGGGGAGTGCCTTGCTGCCACTATGAATTGTCAGTGCATTTTTCCAGCTCGCTCACAGCAGCTTCCTTCCACTTAGTACAGACACCACCTCCCCTGGATCACAAGGCCCTCCGCCCGAAAAAGGGACTCCAGTGAATGGGCAGAAGGCTGAGGACCATGGCTTACACCCTTTCTAAACCAAATGCACAGGTGGTAGAATCGATGTCTAAAAAGCCAAAGGCAAGGCCCCCAGGACCAGGGGAAGGAGTGCAGGACAGTGGCTGACTTGAGAAAGGCGTGAGAAGCAGTCAGGGCCTTGTGCTGCTGCTACGTCACAGCACACAGCAGCCTTCTCCACAGCCAGCCCAGCCCAGCCCAGCCCAGCCCAGCCCAGCCCAGCCCAGCCTCAGGGGGGTGTTAGTGAGGTCGAGTAGCCCCCACTGGATACCCTCTTCTGTAAAGAAGGCCCACATGGAAATATCGTGTTAAGTACCTGGAATGTGGATGACCCAGGATTTGGTTGGCTAAACTGATGTATGATTATTGCCTTTTACTGGGTTGTCCATTCTTGAGGCAACACAGACTTGTCAATAGACTGATCAAGGACAGGTGTAAGTACCTTAAAGGGGGAAAGCAAGAAAATAATTTTATTTTCCACACATTACTATCCTTGCACCAGTTGAGGTACAAATTCATAAATTTTGGGGGAAACAGCCCTCCTATATTAATTACATGCAGAATGGCTATCCAAAGCAACAATGAGAATTGCACTGTTTGTGACCCCATCATGGTGGTTTTTCACTTTCTCTTGGAAAGTGGCCAAAAGCCTGTCCCTAGGTAGAGAATATTTTAACCTTCTAAAAGCAAGAGGAATCCAGAAAGATAAGAAAAAGAAAAAAGTGACCTAAGATCTGTCCTGGGACAGATTCTGCTGAAATTCCCAGAGAGTTTTTAAAAAGTCAGTCCCCTGCTCTGCTGAATAAAGCAGGCGTGTTATTCCCCCCTCTCCGTTTTCCCTTGGTTTGATCTCGAGGTGGGGAAGATGAGCCTGCTTCTCCTGAGGGATTCTGCCGTAGAAAGCCTGCTGTGTTAACAAGGGGCAGAAAAAACGTCCAGAGTCATCCTGTCCATCTCCTGCCAGTGAAGGATGCCCTCCCGGTTCACCTGTGATGCTTCTTCAACACTAAATACTGCTCACACAGGGAGTCCTGCAAAAGTCCCCATTAACGCAAAAGGAGAATTGTGGAGGCTGAAGATGCACGTGATATAAAGACCAGTCACGTCTTGACATCACATAACTTGCGATCACCCATCTTTCATGTTTCTGACAATGATCCACACACTCAGTTTCAGAGCCATAACTTTTTACATAAGCTGGGAGGGAAATCATAAAAATCACAAAATTGGCATCACAGGATTTTACGTTGAAATGAACACTATAGTTCAGTGATTTTTCTCTACCCTCTCCCTAAACCAAGCAATCCAGAATTGCTAAGGGCTTGACTCAGCTCCCAGTGCTACATTTTACACAAGCTGCTGGGTTATTCTGGTGGACCCTGAAGGTTGAGAACTAGTGTTATGAAGCATTAATAGCTCAGCTAAGCTCCAGACTAGCAGCCTCTGTGTCATCAGGGAACTTGTTAAGAATGCCAGAATCTCAGACATCCTAGACCTAGAGAATCGGAATCTAAAGTTAACAGGATGGTGAGGTGATTTATGCTGAAGTTTGAGGGGCAATGATTGAACCTAGAGCACATTAGAAACACCTGGCAAACTTCTGTGGCCTCAAGGCTGGAGTCCTGGGACAAAACCAGTTAAGTCAGAATCCTTGGTGTGAGTCCCACACTTAGGAATCTATCAAATTATGCCTGGTGATTCAAATGTGCAACCAGGGCTATGAACTTCTGACCTCCCATTTCACAGGAAAGGAGGTTTTAGCACAATCATGCAGCTATTCTTGCCTAAGGATCTTTCTCTATCTGTGTCTTTCCCTTTAAAGAAATCCAAACCATTGGAAAGGTGCAAGTGGACTTTTTTTTTTAAAGACTGGACTACGCATCAGTGCTGCATTCTGTATATTCATTGTATCTATTAATCTTCAAAGAAGTTTAGCAAAAGTGGAGTTATAATGCTCACTTCACGGATTAGAGAAGACTGTATGTTTAAATCCCCTGGAGAGGGGAATGGCTACCCACTCCAGTACTCTTGCCTGGAGAATCCCAAGGACAGAGGAGCCTGGGGGGCTACAGTCCATGGGGTCGAAAAGAGTCGGACCCAGCTAAGTAACTAACACTTTGACTTTCATACATTTAAATAATCACAGTCAGAAGCTGAATTCAAGGATATCTGACTCCAACCACCCCACAGGCAGTAAACATAACATTTGTGACCAAATAACACTTCTGAAGATGGTGAAGCTCAGAGTAGTTCTGCCACATGCC